GAAAAGCAGTGACTTTTGACTTCTACTTGTATCTCTCTATACCTCCCGGAGGTAGAAGACCTCTGACCTATCCTACAAACCACATACTGATCAGTGAGCACCACAGGATGTACGTTCATCAGAGAAAGGATGAAGTTAAGCAGGTTATAAATGTCTGATTTATGGTTCAAATGACCACTTTAAGTTAAATCCAGTTTTGTTGTGTTGTAGGGTATTGTAGCTCTCCCCCAGCACGGCTCTGAGTGTAAATAAATATGTTTAAAGACTAAATGAGCTTGAGGAAAGTGGCCCTTTGAGTCCCCATGTTTGTGGAGCAGCCATAATGGATTCTTTAGAGCCGTGAACGGTTTATAGGCATGACAGCCATGTTTCGGCACGATGGGCTTATCCCTACGCATGGCGCTAAGGATATTAGGGAATCAGCGTAAAGCAGCATGGAAATGATGACTGGAGCAAAGCCTCGACTCGCTGGTATTAGGAGCTTTCAATTCTCCAGCACTCGGGGAGGAGAGACGGAGGGGAAGGGAGCAGACCTGGCAAAGCTCCACGCCGTGATATCCTCCATTATTTCTCGCTCCATCGCCGTTTCAGACGTACAAATAAGAGGATGCCTCTCAATCTGGGGATCAGGCATATTGAGGGGAGGTCAATGTCACCTATTGTTGTGTTTCTCTAGTCCTGGAATCTCTGCTGTCCATATGGAAATCTGCTGAAACGGCTGGATGGGAGCCATCGCCGTAGCGCTTCATACGACGCTTCAGTCACACAAGAATGAAAATACACACAGGGTTCATACCTGTTTACCGCTTCCCGTTAACACTGCGCTGTTGACATATTTACAAAGTCAAACAGATAAATGCTGCTGCTGCCGGGTTTACCTGTGTCCACAAAACATCTCCACCCAATTCACCCACGGAGCCTCTCCTGTCAGGGAAGGGCCACAACAGAAGAATGATTAATGTTCCACCTCTCACCCCCCACTGTGAATTAGAGACCACGGGTCGAAACTATTTTTCTTGGCGAGCAGGCTCGCGCTTGTGGCGAAAAAACGGGGCAAACACAGTTTATCATCGGCCCGACGACAGCCCTCCTCGGGGCAAATTAACCACGCGGCCGTATCGACTGGCACGGGCCGGGAGTCGGTGCCCCTTCACTTTGATTAATCTCCCTGTGTTCCCGTTCCAACTCTATCAAAGTAATCTAAGTGAAGACACACAACATTGATCTGTAAGCACAGCATACTACTGTACTCAAAACATACACACACACACACACACAACATGGAAGAGGAGCTATCCTCTAAAAAAAAAACTGTTGCTGCTTCTGCTGAGAAAAACCGGTGTCCAAACCTCAGGAACCAGACAGAGGCTACGTGAAGGAATAGAAGGGCTTTAACATTTTGGCTTTGTGAAATAAGTTTCTACTTAGATGTCTGGCCAGGCAGCAGTCAGACTGATCATAATTGACAGAATTAGAGAAAAATTCTCATTAGGTAGTCTAGTAAACACTCAGCATGTTAGTTATTCAACATAGCAACTTCTGCGGCTAGGATCTAATCAAGCTAACAACTGGTTAAGCTGTAACTGCCTTAACTTAGTTTAGTTAATGACCTATCAACCTGACAAATTAAAGGTAAATGCTAGTTAAGACAGTAGCTACTTAGACCAGCAGCATATCAAGTGAACAATCTGCTAAGCAACAACAGCTTATCCTAAAAGCTAATGGTTAACAGTAGCCAGTAGCAAAAACAAACAAACAAAAAAAAAACAGTAGCCTTAAAAACTGCTAACTACAGTTCTTAAACAGAAGAACTGCTTAAGCTAACTGCTACCTAAATTAACTGTTATTTCGAACAGCCACACACGTTAGCAACTACTTAAACTAATTAATGTGTCGTCTGCCACTGAAGCTATTAGATAGTTAGTCTAACAGCTAATCAGGTTATAAGCTGCATCCTATGTGCATAAAGGAGCGTTATTGTAAGTCCTTCTTCCTAGCAGCTGTTAGACTGTACATCCCTTCATTTACTCGTTCCTCCTGGAGGTGGATATATGTAGCGACAGTCGACGATTCCTTGCAATGTGCGGTCGTGTTCTGCTGAACTCTCTTTATTGATTACGACATTTAATTGTGGTTAGACAAACTTTTTATGTGATTTTAAGCAAAGCATGGGAACAGCAACAACTTGACGGAGTAAGTTTACACTAATTTCAGCCCGTAAAGTTCGGGTGATGTGGCAGTTTGTTTCCCTCTAAGGAATCTGCACAGAATGTGTTAATCCATCTCTTCATGGATGGAACCGCATATGCAAAAACAAAATTATTTTTAGCTGTGCCAATGTGTCTGGCAGACACCGCCTGAGTCTTTTCTTTGTGTCATTTCTGATCAGTCATACTGATCACTTCCTTTTAAATCCTTCTGTGATGACACTTACAATACATTCCCTTTTGGGGGTTTTTGAGTCTGTGGCTTTACTTTGAAGACAGATGGTGTTCAGCAGTGGACAGTAATGTTTTTAGCGTCCGTATGCTCCAGTCACGGTTTTCCTTTCCTGGAACTTTCTCCCACTAAAGTTGTACATTTAACAGGTGGTTGCAAACAAGGTTACATTAATTTGTTGTTTTTTTATTTTTTACAGCCTTAATGAGGAACACAATGAAGGCTTTTAGAGTTCTTTGTTTCTTACCATTCAGCTGAACCATGTGGTCCGCATGTTTTTCATTCTGAGATGTGATGTGGAGTGTTGCCTTTCAGATTTAAGAAGTGGCAGCTGTCTTTGGGAACAACTGCACCGACTTTGACTCAACAAATCCCATTTTATTTGTCTTGTTTTTGTCACTGCAGGCAGATTTCTGACTCTCAGTCATGTGGTTTGGATTGTGAAGTTTTTTTTTTGTTTTTTTTTTGCGTGTGTGTGCATGAAAGTTTTGTCATGATACCCGTTTTTTACTTTAAAGTTGCAGAAACCAACAAAGTAGTTGCATGTGTTGGGCTGCTCACATCAGAAACAGCTCAGACTTAAACAAATTGGTGTCCCTGTTTTTCAGATCCAAGCCATCTCGGCCAGATTTAGCTCTGGAATAACCCCAGAACCAAGCCCGTCGCAAAAGTTTTTCTGGTGAAGTCATTATGTTGTAGAGTTGGAAGAATGCGTGGGCTTGCTGTGATGTTGAAAATAAAATCCACGACCATCACCATGAGGGACTGAAAAGGTTCAGATCAAAACTGACTGGTAGTCATTGAGAATTAGAATTAGAATTAGAAACATCTTGTTCCAATTAGCAGACTTGCATGCATGATGCTGCCACCACTTGGTTCTGCTCTTCTTTCTATGCTGTGTTACTTTTTTGGTATTGTGACCTAATTTACTAGAACAGCTGAATTTTATTCTAGGTTCATTGGATTTTCTGATTATTGGCAATCAGAAAGTGCTTAATCCAAATATTACTTTAAGGTGTAGTCAACACCTTAAACTAAGTTTTTATTAATTTAACATCCGCTCCCCATATGGATTTGATTGTTCTCCAGTTATGTCACATCAAATGGCATAAAGGTTTTGAAACAACTGATCATGATTTAAATGTTTTTTGGTATCAAGATGTCCTGTTTGACCTTGTGTGTCAACCTATATTTCTACATGTAATGTTGCCTTAAATTTAAAAACTCATCAGTGTCATAAATCCCCTTTTTTATATGTAAAAAATGTTTTAAATATTTAAAATATTTTTGTATGTATGATTTTATTTGTGGACTGTATTAATTAATTTACTTGTCCTGGAGTTTTGTGATTTTAAATGGAATTTTATTATTTGTATTTTAGAATAAAACCGAAATAAATGAATCATTTTGTACAATAACATTTAGTTTTATTTAAATTAATAAAATAAAGTCATACGAAATAAATACGTTTATACAACAATATTTAGTTGTATTTAAATTTTAAGAAAATCATATGCAGTGGTGACGTACACCAACTTCCGCCGTTGTCGTCACCAAAGATGGCGGCGAACTGTGCTCGTGTTGTCTGTTCGTTATTGGGGAAAAGTGTAAATTTCGCCTCGTCTACAAGGCCAGTGACGCTGCAGTTCTGCCGACAGGTAAACAAGCACTAACAGTCCGTTAATCTGTTCTCCTTGCATTAAAAGTAATGTATTTAAATGATAAAAACATGGACGTCCTTGTGTTAGCATGCTGTTGTCATCCGAGACTAGCTTAACGAATCGTTGAAATAACAAACATGTTGACATCACAGGTTATCTAAGCAAAGTGTGGTGACGAGCTGAGGTTTGTTTGACTTCTGAACCTGTCGGGTCCAGTTCGGCTGCGGCTTTATGCTCAACAGATGTTTAGCCATGCCAGGCTAATGCTAATGAATGACAGTAGCGCTGCTGTTTCCCTGCAGATATGCGGGACTCCAGCCCTCCGCAGGAAGAACCTGGGGCCCACAGTCCCGGAGACGTTCACCGCAGAGTTCATTCAGAAGCAGGTGGAGGAGTTTGAGATCGGGAAGCGGCACCTTGCCAACATGATGGGAGAGGATCCAGAGAACTTCACTCAGGAGGACATAGACGTGAGTTTGGTCACTATGGAAACATCCACATCTTTGGAGTTAAGAAGCAGATGAACATCTGTATGACTGTGTGAAGCAGGCCAACAGATTTCCCTAGAAATGAATGAGAGAAAGAATAGGTCCTACTGTTGTTTATTGTCGTCTTCAAGGTCAGAAGTCTACATACAGAATGATTGGTGTGTTAGGGATGCCCCAATTTATTGGTCAGCCGATTTATCAACGCTGATTTCCTTAATTTGGGAGATCGGTGATTGGTCGATAATTGCATGTGAAGTCGATCTTATCCCCTTATCTTATCTACCTCAGCAAAAGTCTAAAAATCAACCACCGTTTGGTCATGACAGTGGATTGACTGTTAGCCCCGCCCACCAGGTCATATCTGCATGTTTTCAGTTAACAATAGTCACCCTACAGTTGCCATCTCGGCGACTTTCTTGCTATATTTAATGACATTTCAGGCAAAAAAAAAATATATTGGTATCGACTAAAATCAGAATCGCTAGGTCAGGCTTTTTACATTTCAGTAACCACCGGAAAAGTGCAGTCGGTGTGGCCCTGATTACAGTCTCTTTGATGATATCATGGCTTTGGAGATCTCTGATAGGATAACTGTAGCATAATCAAATTCTTTATTTCTTATTTCATTACTGAGGCTTTTAGCAAACAGACATAATTCTGATGGTTCTGACATCAAACAGAAGTTTGGTTCAGACGGGGAGGAAAACCCTGGATGCATCTTTTTATTTGGTGTATGTAAACTTCTGGTTCCAGCCATATATAATTAGAATTATACAATATATTTGTAAATAAACCCTGGCAACACTTCTTGCCAAGGTTTATTTTTCTCCTCAACGCTGTGGGAGGTCAGAGGTCGTGATGGGTCCAGAAAACTATCCTGGTTCCTTTAGAACCTGATCATCTGGATTTGACTCTCTGGTTCATGTCGAGTGTCGAGTATTTTTTTCTGAAAAGATCGATTTCTGATCTTAACAGATCTTTCAACACGTTGATCCCAGATGAGCAGACAGTTGGACTTTGTGTTTCTCCTCTTCTTCCCAGCCGTAGCGGTGTTTCATGATTACCTGTCGTCCCTGGCAGCAGGCGGGCGTGGCCGCCCCCATCTGATGCCAGGGACCCTGCTCCTCTATTCCCCCCCACGTGTTTGGCTAAATTTCCACACATTTATCCCAATTTTCCGCGTGTCTGTGGCTCCGTCCCTCGGCAGTAACCAATAGAGCTGTCTGTGGAGGTGTGAAAAGCGAAGCGACAGCCGGCGCTCCGGCCCTGGAGTCGGGACGCCTCAGGCGTGACGGAGAGGAAGAGCCGGGGAATTCATTGAGATGTTCCCATGCTGGAGGGACGGCTCCTCGGATCTCAAGTCAGGACGTATGGTCCCTGAAGGCATCATCATCGCCTGGTGGATGTCTTTCTGAGAACCTGGTGTTGATGTGAAGCTAATAAATGAAACCTCCTCACATTGGTGGAGTTGTTTCATGAAAAACTCTTTAGACAGAACCAGCAGCTGAGACGTCATTCTTCAATGCTCAGAAGCTGCATTTTTTTTAAAAACATTTTTCAGTCAGTTTTTGTTTATGGATGATATTTGATCAGTAATGCTGAATTAAATGTCCTAATCAGGTGGAACCGGGAGGCTTGATGGGTTCTTCACAGCCTCTCTAGTTGTTTTTCTTGTTTTTCATGTGAGGTAGTGAACGCCCCATGGTTTACCGACAGTCATTCGAACTGCTCCTCTTCAGTTTGCAGCTTCTTCTTCAGACTTGCATCACAACTAGTCTACAGGAGAAATCAGAGTTTAGTGATTTTGCAAACATCTACATCATCAGTAGCTGTTTGGCGCAGTTTAACAAACTTTTTGTTTTATTCAGAACTCCATCAACACTTCCCCCTCCCCTTCATTTAAAATGCAGCATTTCTCCCTGGTCCCCCAGTTAGAATTGAATGTCTTGTATCTCTTCTTTAGTTTTGATGGTCTCCTGAGCCTCTTTTGTCCTTCTGGAGCTGTCTTTCTGTCATCTGTAACCTCCGTGTTCCCCATGTGGCTGAGTTTCGCTCCGATCTGACAGCTTCCCCTCTGGCACTCCGTCGCTGCTCCTCCCGGATCTCTCCCGCGTTTTGTCAGATCTCAAGGGAGGCGCAGGTGTGTCCTCATCTGTTCCCCGCCGCTTTTCACAGTTTCCCCCCATCCCCATCTAGCTGCTCTCCGTCGTCGTGACAACCTTAAAGGACCTGCTGCTTCGCTAATCGAGCTGACAGGACCGGGGCAGTGATGCTGGCTAACAGCAGGCGTGCGGTGAACTCACGGTGAACCCATTGGACATTCACCCTGTCCGCAGAGAGCCTTTTATCCTTCGGCTTCACGCTAACGGATCCGGCTTGCCTCTCCGTGAACCTGCCAGCAGCTCGTGCCTCTTCTTCTGTCACGCTTTGCGACCCGTGTTCTCCGGACGTGCTGCCCGTCAGCGCCCTCACCGTTTATTTATTCATCTTTATTTGCTCTCTTCCTCCCCCAACAGAGGAGCATCGCCTACCTCTTCCCCTCTGGCTTGTTTGAGAAGAGAGCTCGGCCCCTCATGAAGGTAAGGTTTCACTTTTATCCAGCTTTTATCAGTTCACCACAAACTGCAGCATCTCACCCTCAAACCTCAACATGAAGTCGATCATTACACTTATTTCTCTTTACATTTCTCTCCTAACCTGGTTAATCCAGCCTCTTTAGGCCTTTATTCTTGTTGTATTGAGAACACAATCGAATAAAACTTTGATTACTAAGAATGTGGTTAGAAGTGTCTCTAATCCCCTTTCTGGAAAATGGTTAACAGCTTTCTGTCATTTAACCACAAAATTCTGTGGTTCTCATTCTAATTCTGTTTATTTACATTGAGTTTTGTTCCACCTCGTGATACTTAGGTATATTTTATTCAGAATTAATAAAAGGTAGTGAGGAAAAACATGAAAACAAAACGGCATTAAAAGAAATCCAGTTCAGACGAAGCAAAGAAAAGAACAGACTACACAGTCTTAACAAGGACCGCCTCTTTTTGGAGGCGGGGCTTGTGCTGGTGGGCATAAAGAGAATGGAGAGTGTTCTCTATTACAAGTGAAATTTATGGAAGAATTAGACCTAGATCTAGAAATATTGAAAATAAATATTGAAGATAAACCCATGTTATCGTCACTACTGTTTTTTTTTTATCATCACAATTTATCCAATAAGCTTTCATATCTGGGTAGTAACTGCATACATTTACTTTAACAACATTTTGGGAAAAATATTTTCAAGGAGGAGCTTTATTACTTTTAACTTCACTGGATGAAGAACGAACATATTTTCAAACGACTATAAAAATCATAATGTGGTCAAATGAAATTTGTCTTCTGGATGAATGCAGACTGCTTCATGTTTTGTTGGGTTTTTTCCATCTGCAGCATCCCGTTGAGATCTTTCCAAAGCAGAGAGGTTGGTGACGCCTCCACAGATCTGTTAGTATCTTGACATCATCAAACTGTCAGCTGATCTTTGTTTCCCTGCCTGTGAAGCGATGCAGTGGGGACCAGATGGACGGCCTTTCCACTTCCTGTTCTACACTGGCAAACAGGCCTACTATTCCCTCATGCATGTAAGTGCAGTGTCTGAGTCAGGTTCTGTCCTATCATGAGTCCATTTTTTATTTCATGTCAAAGCCACACAAAAAAACAGACAAAAAATGTCGACTAAGCTTTTTAAAGTCTACAATCATTTTTGACCGCTCAAAGCGCTTTACACTAGAGTCACACTCACCCATTCGCATTAACAAATGTGCTCACTTTCATACACCGACAGGCAGGGGGAAGATGGAATTGAACCTACAACCTTCCAATCGCAAAGCAATCACTCGATACACACAGCCATAGTCGCCGCATGCTAGAGTGTAGGCCAGGGGTGCCCAAAGTCGGTCCTCGAGGGCCGGCATCCTACATGTTTTAGTTCTCTCCCTGGTTTAGCGCACCTGCATGAAATGATGGCTCATTAGAGGCCTAAGAAGAACATTGACTTGCTGAGGAAGTTGATACTACCACTAGGAAGAAAACTAAAACATGCAGGATGCCGGCCCTCGAGGACCGACCTTGGGCACTCCTGGTAGGCCTTTATTAAAACCGCTAATGTTAGCATCTGTTAGCTAACATTAGTTTAGCAGCTACTTTCATAATATGATACACTTAATAGTACTGAAGTAACACATTGGAAGGTAATGTGGTATTCCTAGTACAACGAAAACAAGTATTTTTCATATTTTTACAATGTAAATCTCACTGAGAAATCTGTTTTAGCCAAACACAAGAGATAACATAACAGCTTTGTTATACATAATGTTCACTTATAAGCTAAGGCTTACCTGCAAGCTAATTTTAGCTAACATGCAAAGGTTAGTGTATATATTAGCTTTAATTGATGTTTTGCTAGCTAATCTGACCATGTTAGATGACACACGTTTGTATTAGCAATTGCCAATGTTATTTTTAGAATACTGTTTGTAAATTAGTAAATGCTAGCTTATTAGCTAAACTTATTAAAAAAAAAACATTACTGCAGTAGCTGTTAGCTGATTTTTGCTAAGTTGCTATTTCTAGTATATTACATAACTAATATGCTAAAGCTATGTTGGTATAAATTACTATCATCATTGTAGAAAGCATAAATCTGTGCTAGAATGGTTATGGACCTTCAATTCAATTGAAAAATACTTTATTAAAATTAAAGGAAAATTAATTTTTAGATACTTCAGGTAAATTGAGTCAACCCGGGTTGGTTCGTGTTCAGGCCCAGCAGAATGTGAGTTAACCGTTGCTCTGGTTGCTCTGCCTTCCAGGATCTGTACGCCAGAGTTCTGAAGGTGGAGAAGCACCAGGACCAGCTGAGAGCCAAAGGACTGTTCCCGACTGAGCCCAAGCAGATGTTGGTTTTGAAACCTGTCCTCTCTTAGATTAGAGCCGTCTGTCAAAAACCAACCCACTTCCTGTCTCCTGCAGCGCTCTGGGAACCAGCAGGTGGCTGACCAAGGAGGAGATGGAGGCACTGCTGGTGGAGCCCATCTCGAGACAGGACGTAAGAGCAGACACGGTGATCTGAGCCCGGCCTGACCCCGACTGATCCGCTGTTTGTCCTCCTCAGTACGAGCACTTCATCCAGCTGATGGAGCGCCTGCTGGCCATGCCCTGCTGCAGCGTGGAGCAGCAGTTTGTCATGAGCCACCGCCAGCAACTGGAGGCCCAGTCCATGCATCAGGTGGTGCCGCCGCTGCAGAAGGATGACGCCGGGGTGAACTTCAGCACCGCAGAGGGTAGGAAGACTTTAGACTGGCAACAGTTGACAAATACTAACCCCAGCATTTCACTCGTTAAATTCATTTTTACCATTTACTGTAGAATGTTTCCAACTTTTATGCGCGTCTTGTGGTGGCAGCATGTTTCAGCTCAGCTGGTCCTTATTGGTTCTTTTCAATTCATCAATTCCTAGTTGAATTGTCGCTGTTTTTTTAGACGCTCTAACCCAGTGTTTCTCAGCCCTGGTCCTCACCGCCCCCCTGCTCTGCATGTTTCAGATGTGCCTCTATTCCAGAACAGCTGATTCAAATGATTGCATGACCATCAGGTACTGCAGAAGCCTGTTAATCACCAGAGATACAATTCAGGTGTGTGGCAGAAGGGAAATACCTAAAACATGCAGGACAGGGGGGCGAGGAGCAGGGTTGAGAAACACTGTTATAGACAGTTCTGGATGCTGAGCAGCTGGAAGGGTTACTGTTCTTTTGTTATTTAATTTAGGACACTTATGGCAACAAGGTATTGTTTTCCAACTGGGAACAGCTGATTAGCATCTCAGAAGCTCACTTAATACCTGAACTTTGACCCCAAAATCCTGGGAGTTGAAAATGAGGTTTCATGGATGCAGAGGCAGAAGGAAAGAGTTCAAACCAAACCATCTATTCCATCCTTCACCATTGAGATCATATCCCAGATAGAGGGCTAAAAAGGAGCAAAGGAGGTGGATCAGCAGAGCTTACGATGTCATCAGAACATGTTTCTGTAGAATATCATCTTTGTTGCCTGGATACTGAGCTGTTGGCATGACTGGACGGCAAAGTGCAATTGGAGATCCTTCCTGTCCGCAGCATCACCATCGCCAACGACTCTCGTGATACGTGGACGATCTGAGTTATGACATTTGATTTCCCTCTCGGGTGAATCAAGTATTAATGAATCAAACTGCGAGGAGCTGTAACCGTCTAGAGGAGGAGAGTTAAACTGATCCGTGTTTCCTTCCAGGCAGGAGGAAATCGTCCAGGGGATCAGTGGTGGTTCGTGACTGCGGCGCAGGACGCCTCACCGTCAATGGCCAAGACTACCTGCACTACTTCCCTGTGCTGCAGGACAGGTGGGCCTCCTCTCACTGTGTTTCCCTTTAAATGGAGAGCGGGACGTTTTTTTGTCCTCCACAGCCTGAAGGAATGGAAGGCAGCCTTCCTTTATCTGCTGCTAGTCACTTAATTACACAGCTCACTGAGTGTGTGAGTGTGTGTGCTGCTAGCCGTTGTCACGCCGGCTGTAATTGGAGCGCGGGGGTGACAACCGACTCTGTCAGCATCTGGGTTCATTCAGGCCGAGACACCACCCAGAACCGGGTCATGCTGAGTCAGAACCTGCTCTGATCGGAGCGGGACCAGGCAGTAAATGAGCTCAGCTAACTTTCCCCCCCCTTGTTACTCCCACCCCATCTCTCCTATCTGCCCCGGCTCAGGGAGCAGCTGATGTTCCCGCTGCAGTTCTGTGGCCTGCTGGGCCGGTTCGACCTAGACTGCTCTGTGAGTGGCGGCGGGAGGTCCAGCCAGGCGGGGGCGCTGCGGCTCGCCATCTCCCGGGCACTGCTCAGTTTCCTGTCGCAGAGCGAAGGAGAGGCCATGAGGCAAGGTGAGTACCGCCTGCAGCATCAGCTGCTGAGGAACAAATTCTCTCGCTTCAGCTTGTTGTTGTCTCCCTCCAGCTGGCCTGCTGACCCCTGACCCCCGGGTTAGAGAGAGGA